TTTTGATGGTTCCTTTCTAGTCTCACCTCCAGCCATTCCCTCCTGTGTACCTGTGCTCTGGTATTTTCACCAAACAAGCATGTACTCTTGTGCCTTTGGTTATGCTGTTTCTTCCACCTGAAGAACCTTTTTTCCTCCCCAGTTTAACCTGTGTTCTTCTCCAGGAGCCCCTTCAGAATGCTACCTCTTGATTAGTATCTTCTCTTACTTTTTCCCTCTCAGGCAGTCTTAGCTACTTACCGTCTTTGTGATCCTTTCGCAATTTGTAACATACCTCTTACTTCAAGTATGGTCCTTGTTACATTGTACTGTGGTTACTGTTTATTCTTACACTTGCTTTTTTTTGTGGACTCCTTAGGGACAAGAACTATTTCCTTTGTTCTTTATCTTTGTGTCTCTAGTACTTAGATGCCTGGCATAGAATCATGGTAAATGTTTTGTGTCAAAATTATACGTTATAACAAATCTGCCTCCGCTCCTCCAGCTCAAGGGGATATTTTCTGTCCTATAGCTGAGAAAGGAAATGGTACTTTCTGTTTTATTAGACAGCTCTTCGTGTTTGTCTCAGTTTATTCAGCCAAGTTTTAGCTTAGTTCCCACCTTCTTGGTGAAGTTTCCCCAATGACTTCAGCTCATTCCTTTGTCTAAACTCCTCTTTTGGGTTTGTTTGTTTGTTTGTTTGTTTTTGGTTTTGTTTTTTGTGCATTTTTTTTAAAGTTACATATTGCTTCTTTCATATGTTTGATCTTTTCTACGTATTATATTTATTAAACTTAGAGACAGAAGTCACACCTTACTCTTTTTTCCTCCAAGGTACATAGCATAATGTTGGACAAACAATGGTAACGTGAGAATTTTTAATAATTGTTTAGAAATAGGTAATATATCAGGGAATTTTCAGAATGTAGCAATTTCAAATGTATATATCTGAGCCAAAATCAGATTAATTCTGAGTATTGTGGTTGGCTTAGTGTTATGTGAGGTCTATGTTGATAACCTTGTAAAGGCTGTACCTACAGTGAATATCTGAACTTGGCAGGCACAGAAGCTAAGCTGGCAGAATTCCTCTCTGCTGGGTCTGTAGCCAGTGCTCTCTGCAGTGTAACCTGGGTCGCAGGCCCCCTGAGAAGAGATTGAAGAATTAACTGTGCCTTTCCAATCATGGAGTCAGAATGAGAATGGGAGGAAGCCTGCTATTGTTTTCCATTTCTCTTCAATATGCAGTTCGTGCTTAGAGAGTGTATACACAGCAGTGTGTTCTGGTTGGTGATTTATGATTTCTTTCCTCCCTTACATTGTTTTTCCTGAAGGGTGGGTTGGCGACACTTGATGATAGGTAGGAAGTGTTTCCGACTTCCTGAGCCTCTTTACCTTTACACAACAGAGTTTAAGGCAGGTTCCACGCTTCACTGTATTTCCCTTTTGGATCAACAGTGACAGAGAAGCATTATCTCCTAGTTTTCTCCCTTCTTGTCTTTTTTTTTTTTTTTTTTTTAAAGTCTTGACTGACATTATTCCAGAGATAATCACTGTACTTCCGTCATACTGAATTACTCTTGTAGACTACATTCCTCTCCTAGATAAGACCCCAGTTCTTCATTATTCCAAGTATATTTGTGTACTCCCTTTCCATTTCCTCTGATGCTTTATCTTTCTAAGAACTGATTTTGGGATTAAATAGGCCCATCCATCCATCTTTGAAATATTGATTAATATTTATTAATATATCCTAGGCTCTGGGTAGGCATTGATAAACAAGACTTTTATTGTCCCTGCCTTCGTGGAGCTTAGAGTCTAGGAGATTTTTATTTGAAGAGTAAAGATTTATAATATGTACTTTATTTAAAACTCTTAAAGTACCTGAGTTAAACTTTTCCATCGGTAATATGAATTCAGCTTAAAAAAGATTTGCTGTCTGAATCATTTTCATGGGACTTTTCTAAAGTGTATTGTTACTTAAAATTTATTGATCACTGGGAGGTAAACAAGTGGAGACTTCAGTGATATTCATTATGCTAACATATTAACATCTACTCACATATTGGATTTGTGCTAAACTGGGACTTAAATTTTTATCTACTGATTCCCAGTCTAGTGCTTTCTGCATTACATTAGGTGACTTTTTAGGACCTGGTTGATATGTAAAACTGAAAAAAAGACTCTGAGGTAAAGTATTGTAACTACAAAGTGTAATATGGTAGAGTACTGGGAGTCTCTGTGTTCAGAATATTTCTGTTCATTATGCTGATTTTCCCCTTGAGACTAAGCAGCAGCTCAGTATAGCTGGGAGGCCTGACTCTTTTGCATGTTGTGTCTTCTAGTTTGTACCTGTTCAAACTAGGCCTGGCTCCTCAGATCCAAGACCTATATGGAAAGGTTGACTTCACAGGTAAGAAGTTACAAACTTGGCAGGACATGCTTGAGTTGTGTGGAAATAGCCTGGAGAGTCAACAGTGCCAGTCTTAGAGATGTAGGGCTTTGAAAATACTGAGCCAGCAGAGATAAAGCATAAGTAGCTTGCTTCTCCTGGTGTGGTGGAAAGAACACTAAACTTAGAATTTCAGGCCCTATTCTCTGTTATGACATGAGTATGATTAATAAGACTAAGTTTTCTTATGTGTAAATTAGACTATTAAGATATGATATGTAAAATGATAAAATATAATATCAACATCTAACAGTAAATGTTCTCATATGGTGAAAAAACTTTATAACAGACTTTCTCTTTCAGTAAGCACCTGTTGTAGGCAAAGAAAGGGGAGTGAGATGATACAAAGATGACAATCTACTAATTTAAAAACTTCAGCTTTTTTGGGTGGGTGTTTCTATATGTATTTGCTGTCGTCAGAAGCTTGAAGGGATAGAAGCTTGGGGAGAAAAAGAACAGTGGTAGTATTGGTTAGGAGTAAGATAGATGTAAATCTTTTGACCTAGTGGTTATTTTGTAGGCCTGTGAGTTTTAAAAATTGGTAATAAAACTTTTACCCATGATATTTTTTTCCTTCCCGGGAAGTTTGTTCCCCAGTCCTGGGGCAAGGGCCAATCCTTATATGTTATTTTCTTTGTAATTTGGCTTCCTGCCTTAGAAATGAAACTGTTTAATAGTAGCTAGTGACTTGGATTATAAAGACTAAGACAACAGGCTGGCTTGTGAGTCACTTCTTGTTCGAGCTCCCTTTAAAGCTGGTCTATTCATCAAGGGGGAAAAGAAAGCTGCTCCATTCATAAGTTCATTATAGAAAATGCCATAAGTGGCAGTTTTGGAAAACTATTTTCTTTAGAGCCATTCTTACGTTACAGCTATTTTTGGTGTTCTTGGTTATACTAATAATAGTTGCTGTGTCTATTGAGTGCATGTTATGTACCAGGTATCATGTTCAGTGCTTTCCACATATTATTTAAATCTTGTAACAACCCTAAGAGGTAGGTGCCATTTTACCCAATACATTTGCCGTTGAGGAATCTGTTTCTTTCTCTGAGTTATGGAAAGGTACTTAACTTGCTTGATTGGGTCTTAATTCTTTCCTGTAGAGGAAGAAATCAACAACATGAAGATTGAACTGGAGAAGTACGGGATCCAGATGCCTG